CTCAGTTTCAAGTGGAAATTAGAAATCAGTAAACAGAGAGAGAAGAATTTTTTCCTCTTAATGTTGCTTCCTTCACTGCTTACATTCTTAAATCTCTTCTTGGAATGAAGAGGATCAATCTGCGTCACGTTTTCTTTCTCTCTGATAATCCTTATGAGTACTTTTTGCAATTTATTTTCCCTCTGACTGATGTGACACTGATAAGAATTAAACCCACGATATTTTTACAGAAAACATTATTTTCCAGCAACGTGCTCACAGTGGTGGGAGAATTGTGGATACCATTGGCTGTGGCTCGAGTTGAGTTTGTTTGAAGGTGTTTCCCAGAGAAGCTGTGGCTGCCCCATCCCTGGAAGTGTTCAAAGCCAGGTTGGAATAACCTGGGCTAGTGGAAGGTGTCCCTGCCTGTGTCAAGGGGTGGAACTGGATGAGCTTTAAGGTCCTTTCCACCCCAAACCATTCCATGACTGGTCTCATGCTGCAGGTTAAACGTGGCAGAACTGCCACCAGTGCAGGCTCTCAGGGCCAAGAAAGTTTTGTCAAGAAAAGGTTTTTTGTGAAAGCATTCCGTGTGGCAGGAGCTGACTGTCTGCTTCCAAAGGGACATGTGACACACTGTTGTCCAGTTAATAAAATTACCCCTGGAAAACAGTGATTTTGGGATACACATCTGGTCACGTGGAGGCAGCACTTGGGAAAGAGCAATGAGGAGTTTGCAAGAAGTTTGAAGGGTGAGATCCCGTCATCCAGGTCCTGTCTGGGTTTTGATTGTTTGGGAAGTGTGGGAAGCAGGATTGTTCAGAGCAGGGCTGCCTGTGGCCACGGGAAACCTTTGGCAGGGAGCCTTTGATGTTTGAGGTGTGTTTGGTCAGGTATGGAAGATGATTCCTTCTGGATGGAGGTTCATCATGACAATGCTCCACATTGCACAGCCTGTTCTGGTGCATTCAGCTGTAACTCCAAAGGCAGGGAATTCTCAGAAATGTGTGGGAACTGACTGGCAAATGCACCTGCTTTCTCTTTGCTGTTCCCTTTCTCCTGGGCTCTATAAAAGGGAAGAAGCCCTGGTAAGGATAGGTCTGCATTTATGTCACCTTTGGAACCTTCACAAGGGGCTGTATCAGGTTTTAGGATACTGCAGAGCTGACCTACACAGGTGGTTTAGTTCCAAATCCAACAGATACTACAAAATCAGGGTGTTGCACTAGTCAGGAGTGTGAAGTAAATGGTTGTTCTTCATTTCCAGCTTTTTGTAGAGAACCCTGGGTTTGGTGGCAGCTGAGAACTGTGGAAGGACAAAAACCCCAGGAACTTTTGGGGAGATTATTTAGAAGATAAGCACAGGAGGTTTTGCACAAGACAGTCCCTGGAAAAGGTGGTTTGGTAGATTTACTCTAAATGTTATTTACAACTAACAGCACAACACCATCTTAGTGCCAAGCTGATTTTACTGTCCTGACTGGGAAGAAAAACAACTTAGAGGTAAAATATTAAAAAAGGGTAAAGCTCTTGTTCAAAAATTACAAGTGCCAATAACTGTAATAAACGTTTCTGTTGCTGTGGCTGAGAACAGGAACCAGTGTAACTCTGTGGTAGTTCCTCTTTGTGTCCCCACTCCGTGGTCTTGTTCAAACAACTGCTCAGATTTAATTCTTGTCCTTGGTAGGACTTTGGGTATTAACCAGGATGTTCAAGGTGTTATAATTTTTAGCACAGCTCAGTGACTTAGAATTGGATTTCAAGCAACCTCAGGCCCGTGGGGGAAGGAGAGCAGTGGAAGATGAATCACATTCTGACCTGTATGTTCTCCTTTACACCCCAAACCTTGAGTGTCTGCCTGTGATTAACCTCCAGGATCGTTGGGAACTGTTGGGATCTGGACTTTTAACCCAAGGGCTAATTTGTTGTTACTTTGTTTAATTATTTGCTTTCAGTAATGCATCTCTTTTGGTTTGAATTGAAGTAAATTATTTTGCTTCTTAAATAACTTTTTTAAAGAATAAACTTCGAATTCTTTGCTTGTTTCTTTTGTGATCTGGGCACAGGAGCCACAAGTGGATTATGGAAAGTTTATCAGCAGTGCTCTGCTTTCCCTGGGGGATGAGATTTACTCCAGTTGTCACTTCTGTCCTGGGGCATGGGCAGCTGGATGCCAGATGTGCCCTGGAGCATCAATTAGCAGTGAGAGTGGCCTTGAGACCTGCCACAGGCTTGGTCCAGAGTCCAGTTTTTAATGACTTCAGCAATCTGTGCATCTTGTCGAGTCTCTGTTTGCAGTGGGGTTCCTCATAATATTTTTGCTGACTTTGTCCTTGCTGTGTCAAAAAAAAGGGGGAGGGAACCTTTTTTTCACTTGATATTTCAAGAGTGAAATCAGCCATGGAGTCACTGCTGTGCCCAACTCATGCTCTCTGTTAGGCTTTTAACTTGCTTAATTCAGTCTCCTAAAATACTTCCCCCTTGGTTTTCCTCCTGCAGCAAGGCAGATTGTGTCAGTCCACACATCAGTAAATGTGCTTTCAGACTGTTTCTCCTCAGACACTGTGTCAGGACTTTGGAACCCGGAGTCCAGCCTGGTTTTTTGTGCCAGGAATTAAGGAACAGCCCCCCAGTGCCAGGGCCACACACTCCTGGCACTGTGTAGCTTCAATAGTCACTGCCTGTCCCTAAAGGATTCAGAACATGAGTACAGGTGGGTGCTCAAATCCAGGGGTTTCTTGGCTTATTGGGAAAGTTTTCTTGCAATGTGGGTGTTCTCTGGAGCAGCCTGATCCTACAAACTGTTTCCCACCTGAAGGGCTGATTTTGATTCCACCAGCCCTGGAGGAATCCGTGCAGGGGAGGGAAGAACTTGCTGAAGGTTTTCTCAGTGCTGGGTGAGTTGATCAAAGGCCCAGCACAGCCAGAAGGGCCCTGGTGAGATCCACGTTACCCCCTCTCTGTTCATACTCCTCTTCTTCAGCAGTTTAAACCATTTTATAGCAAAACCTGCCTCATGGCTTCTATTTGGACAGCTGCCCCTGTGCTATGGATGCTCTGCCAGGTGAGCTAGAGGAAGATCCTTCTAGAAGAACACCCTAAAATGCCAAATTTCTGGCATGTCCAGCCATCTTCCTTTGACTTAGACCTTGGTGGAGTGAAGGCAGCTAAGAGCCAGAAGTGTGAGGGGGTTAGAGCCACTCTGAAGCCCCTGGGTGTGAATCACTCATTTTCCAGCTGAAAAAGAGTGGGAAGATGGGTTGTTTGTGCCAGCCCCTGAGTTTGCAGAGGCCATGGGTCTAATTTTAGCACAGCATGCCCAGGCTTTACTCAGATTTCCACCATGATCCCACTCAAATTGACCCTGTGATTAAAAAAGCTGAGGCATCGAGAGGAAGATGACCCTTGTACCCTAAAGGTCATTTTTGGTGTCAGATGTGAATCCCAAGATCCTGATGCATCCAGGAAGGTTAGGGACAGGCATAGTCCTTGTGGGAGAGCAAAACAAGCAGGAGCCAGTTTTTATGGACCGTGAATGAAATGGTTAAACAATAATGTGCTGGGGACTCTCAAGCTCAGAGATGGGTAAGAACAAGAAAAATTCAGGAACTGAAAACTGCATCAGCATGAGAGGAGGCCAAGGTGTAACAGCACCCCAGCTTTGCCCTGTTGCTGCACCTCTGCAGGTTGCAGGGAGGGAAATCAGTTCATATTCTTGGGGAATAACTGGGAAGTGGGGATACAATCCCCTGAGATCTGGAGAATCTCTTGATTGTCACCCAGCATGTTTTGAAGTTGTGCCCATCAGAGAATGGGCACATCTCTTCCAGAGAGTTTCTGGATGCTTTGGGAATTGTCTCAGCTGGAGATGCTGTGCCAGGTCTCAGCTCACCCAACTTCACTGACCAGTTGTGCCACAAGATTCCCGTGCACCTGCAAACAAAACCCTTGGCTTGTCTTTCCCAGCTCTGTATTTTATGCATGTAATTGTCACTTTTTCCAGCCTTCTCCTGGGACAAGGCCTTTCCATAGCTGTTCCTGCAAAGTGTGGCACAGGAAGCCCTTACCTGCACATAAAATTCCAAACAATGTTGGCTTTTCCAGGTGGTTTTTCTGTTCCCTTCAAGGCTGTGACCGAAGCCTCCCTTTATTAAATCAGAGCCAGGCTGTGCTGCTGCAGCCCAGATGCTTTGCTTGATTTGTCCTATTCCAGGGCAGGTTTTCAACACCATCAAGAACTGAAGTATAAACAAACAGGAAAAGATTCTTTCGCATCAGAACTATTTTACCCTTCTGACCCGTTCTGGTTCACCACTTCCCACCAGAATCTGGGGCAGAAGCTCAGAGTTACTCTGGCAACATGCAGGGCATGACAAATTCTGGCCTTTTTCTTCAGACAGGAGCTGTTTCTCAGCTTCAGGTGAGACCTGAAGTAGGTTTGAGGGCACCCTAAAGGAGGGTACAGCCCTCAGTGCCAGTATTCTGGGAACAATCTGCTTAGATCAAGGCAAGAGCTACTTCCCAACCTGATGTCTGCTCTGCCAGACCCAAGCCACGTGTGTAGCTTAAGGGAGGACTTCCTTGAACCACCTTCCTTTTGTTTGTTGGATTCAGCTGGGAAGATGTGAGGACATCTGTGCTAAAATCCAGGCTTTCAGGTAGATCCCTCTCCCTGAACAGCACAGGTGAGAGCAAACAGTTTGGATCCACCCACAGCCCCTGTTCTGATGGAAACACCGAGGCTCTGCCTTGGGAATTTCCTTTAAACCTTTGGTTCAGCACAGAAGGTGTCAGGTTTAGTCTCTCTTAAAAAACTGACTTCCACAGTCCACTTTAGAGAGGTGCAGCTGCCTGGGAAGCAGAAATCTGACCAGGCAACAGGTGAATCTCCACGAAATGTAAGAATGAAGCCTGACTTAGAGAAGAAAAATCATTACATTTGAGCCTTGGTTCACCTGTTTCAGTGGAAGTGTTGTGGCTGCACTTTAAATAGGTCCCCAGTTGATCTTTACTCTCCTTTTAGAGTGGGAGAGTCTGATTACAGGGAAGGGAAAGCTGTAAAATTAGTGTTGGGCTCTCACTCGGCCCCTTGTGCTCGGGGACAGTGGGGTGTTACTGAGGCTCTGCAGACTCTGCTGCAACGATGTCCCGGGGGAGAATTCCAGGTAGGTCTGAAAGCAGGGAGCCAAGGAGCCACTGGGCAGGCTCTCAGCCCACAGCCTGGGAGATTTGGATGGTCCACGGGACCTCACTGGGGCCTTTGGGCGTTTTTCTTCCTGCTTGGAGACATTTTTCGGGATATTTTAAATAGTTTAAAGAAGTAGTTTAAATCTTGCTCTGCTTGGACTGAAGAAAAATATTGTCTCTCCTGCAGTGTGATGTGTCCTGTAATGACAGCACTGGATCCCTGTGGATGTGGGTCAGAGGGATTTCAGGAGTCTCTGGTGCTTGGCAAAGCACCAACTCTGAGCTTGGCAAAGCTCAGAAGATGTGGGGAGCTGCATTCCTGAGGGCATGGGGAGCATAAGCTGGGCAGCAGGAATAGGGCCAGCCAGGCTCTGCAGAGCAGTGCAGAGGGACATGTGACAGGTGGCTGCAGAGCCCTGAGTGATATCAGCCCCAAGCTGCTCTGATAAGAGCAAGTTTGGAATTGCAGGGCTGTGGTGTGACAGACAGTGTCCTCCTGTGTGAGCCTGGGTTAAAACCTGGCCCTGCACCACCGGTGGGAGGCTGTAAACCTTCCTGAGTGTAGTTTTCATCCAGTAAAGGGATGAAAGGTCAATGGAGGCATTTCTGGGATGCTTCATTTGCAAATGAATACTTGGAATTAGAATGTCAGGGGTGTGTGTTCCCCGGACTGGGATTTGGGAAGTGAGTGATGTTAGAGCTGCAGCCTCAACTGCTGGGTCAGATGGAAAGGGCAGGAGTTGCACCCTCAAAATGTTGCTGCCACCCTGTATGACCAGGAGTGAGGATCTGTGGAAGTGCAGTGCCTCAGCTGTCTGCTCCTGTTAGGGAATAAATGGAGATGTGACACAGGGGGATGGAACTCTGCAATGCCCATCCATCCTGATCTCCACAAAGGAGGGCGAGTCAAGGGCAAAAAATAGCCAAGCCTGGTGCTCCAAGTCACTAAAATATCTGCCTGCTTGTCCAGCAGGAGAAGGCTGTCCTGCCCTCCTGCTGGTCCTGCTGCATCCCTGCACCTGGACACAGGGAGAGACCTCCCAGGACAGCCCAGTCTGCCCACATGGCTGGGTGCCTGTTAGTCTCTTGTAGTGTTGACTGAGGTGATCTGGGCTCTGGCAAATGTTTCATCTTGGACAGCTGCAGGGAAAACAGACTGTGGCAGGCAGAAGCTCTGCCAGAGCCTCGGGTTGGATGGGACCTGCAGGGGGGTTTGGTTACACACCGAGGCACCAACGAGGCTCTGTTGGGAACAGGCAATGCCAAACTCACATCTTTGTGTTGCTCAAAGTGGCAGCTGCTGCTCTGGGGTTTGTTTTTTGGTTTTTTTTCAGTACCTAAAGGGGCTACAAGAAAGCTGGAGGGGCTTTTCACAAGGGCATGGAGTGACAGGACAAGGGGGAATGGCTTTAAGCTGAAGGAGGGTGGGTTTGGATTAGATATACAAAAGAAATTGTTCCCTGTAAGGGTGGGGAGGCCCTGGCACAGGTTGCCCAGAGAAGCTGTGGCTGCCCCATCCCTGGAAGTGTCCAAAGCCAGGTTGGACAGGGCTTGGAGCAACCTGGGATGGTGGAAGGTGTCCCTGCCCATGGCAGGGGGTGGAACAAGATGATCTTTAAGGTCCCTTTCAACCCAATCCATTCTGTGTTTCTATAACTCTTTTGTCAGTGGAAGGCTTTGGCTAAACTTGTACTTTGCTAATCCCTTTTTAATGACTGATGAGAAGACAAGGCAAAAAGGCTCAGATTTTGAAGGGCTGATCACAACAGCTTTCATTTTGTCTCTGTTTTATCTTAAACAGCAGAAGACAAACGTGAGTATTGCTGGGTTTGTGTATGCTCTGCTGTGTTACTGCCTGGACATGATCAGTGGAACCCAACAGCTGTTGCATGATCATGGTGATCTTTCAGCAGCTGCAGAAATGCTATTTCCTGGCAGTGCCAGCTGTGCCCCTCGGTGTTACACGGAATGGTCCCAGCTTTTTGGCCCTTTAGTATAGGAAACTGCAATTTTTAAATGTTATCCTGCACCCTGGTGAGAACCCTCTGGCTGTTCTGCTTTGGCCCTCACGTGCTGACCATGTCCTGTGTGACATGTTGATGGTGAGGTCCGTCCTTCAGCATCAATGCTCGCTGAGCTTTGTGCTGAGCTGCCAGCTGCTGGCAAAGCCTGCTCCGTGCCTGCTCCTGTGCTGCCATGCAAACCTGTGCTTCTGGGACAGTTTTGATGGTGTTTTGTTGGCAGTGGAAGGGCTTTTAACCATCCTTCTCCTCCTTCATAAAGCCCCAGCCAACCCTGTGTCAGTGGTGACCTTGGCAGCACGATGCACGTGGTGGGTGAGGGGGGTCCAGCTGTGGCTGGGGCTCTCCAGCTGCACTGGGATGGTGGGAGCTGAGTGCTTGGGCTGCTGGCTCTGCCCCCCCTCCATCCATACCTCTGTCTTCCTCCTGACTGGATGCCTTGTGGAGCAAGTGGGGCTTAGACTTCCTAAAGCTGTAAGGGCTCTGCCAATCTTCCCCTCTCCCTGCCAGTGCATGCTCCCATCATTGCCCTTCCCAAGGATTTGCTTCTTCCTGGGCCTTTTTGCACCACTCTTGGTGCCTTTCCTGCTGTACTGGGGGTATCGAGGTATGTCTCCAGCCCACCAGGTGTGTCCCAGCCTCGTGGCAAATCTGGGAGGTCACCCCTAGTCTTTTAGGGGGAGTGGGGGCCACGAGGAAACAGCAGCTGAGCACTGAGCTGCCTGCAAGGGACACCTGCCTGTTCCAGTGGCTGGGAACCAGCTGCCTGTGGGAGCCTGAGCTCTGCTCCCTCTCCCTGCAGAGATGGACGAGTCCATGCGCTCCTTCGCCGAGAAGATCTTTGCCTCCGAGGTGAAAGATGAGGAGGTCAAGGGGGAAATCTTCGATGTGGAGGAGACCTCCCCCATCTCCTGGCAGGAAATGAAGGTGCACATGATGCTGCAGGAGAGAAGTGGCACCACGGAGAAGCGGTGAGCAACAGCCAGGGATCCTGGGAGAGGAGAGGAACACGGAGCAGGGGGGATGTAAATCAAAGCCCATGGGAAGGGGAACAGCTTATCACACCTGTGGGATTAATCCTTGCTAATCCTAAGGCATCTGTCAGGTATCCAGGGGTTCCTCTCCAAGTGTTCCCACTGTTGGACAGAAAGACACCCTGCTCCCTGGGTGTCAGGGACAGCAATGGCCTCAGAGCTGGTGGAGAGGGAGACTTGGAGACCGTTCTCTGGAAAGATGAGACTCCCCAAGTCTGTGGCTACTTTGTGATCTGTGCCCTCTGCTCTTGGCAGCGGCTGTTTCAGGTGCTCAGAAGGCACCAGGGAGCTGATTTGTGTTGAGCACAGTTAGAACATGGCTGTGGGAAGTACCCCTGTCCTGGAATGGGGCTGTTTGCCTGAGGTTTTCCTCCCCGGCAGGAAGAAGCACCATCTCCGCTTGAAGACAGTTGCGTTGGCACTGCCCTCGGTTCAGAAGTCTGTCAGCAGCCTGTCTGCCATGGATGAGGTCATCTCCACCTCCCCCCTGTACCAGACTGTGCCTACCTTCCAGAGGGTCCAGATCAGTGGGGATTATGCCTCTGGGGTAGGTACTTCCATGGCTGTTCCCCTCCCCACCACCTCTGGTCCCTGCCTGTCCCTCAGCAGTGCCCAGTGTCACAGGAGCCTGTTCCAGCTGCAGTGTCTCCCAGAACAGTCTGTGCCTCACAGGCCTCTGGAGGTGCCCTGCTGCATTCCTGGGGGATCCATAGCTGAATTCCTTGGCAGGAGTCTGTGGGTTGCTCCATGGTTCCCATGGGATTCTCCAGGGAGGATGTGGCTGAGCAGGCTGTGCTCATTCTGTCACATCCTCTCTGCTTGCACACAGCTATGCCTGTCCAGGATCTGTGCATATCCCAGAATCCCAGAATGGCTGAGGGAGGTCATGCATTCCAAGCCCCCTGCACAGGCAGGGTCACCTAGAGCCAGTTGACCAGGACTGTTATCACCTCCTATGTTAATCCCTCCTTCTCCTTCTCCTTCTCCTCAGCCTCCTATTACAACTGTGCTGCCCCTGGGATCGTGCTGGTGGATCCAAGCTCAGCTTGGAGCTGCACAGCAGAACAACTGGGGAATCTGAAAATCCCTCTTTGTTTAGGCACGTTCCCCCTGCTGTGACTGTCTTAGTGGTGTTTTCTCACCCTGCTCCACTCCTTTGAGCCACTTCTGATTGCCCAAAACACTTGTCAGAGCAGTAAATCAAAAATTGTCCTGGTCACTGGTCGGTGTTTCATGTTGCTCCTGCTTCAGTTTCAGCCTGGGCTCCAAAAATAGCTTTTAGTGTTTTGCCCCAGCCTGACCATTTCAGGGCCATCTACAGATTACAGTGAGGAGTGTAAGAGGCATTGGAATTCACTGATTCTGGCACCAGGAGCTTCCCTTTGCCATATCTGGGACTCTGCCTATCATCCCTTCCTTGCCCTGCCCAGGCAGAGCAGCGGGAGGGAGGGCATGATTGATATGATATGATTATCATATGATTATGATTATGATTATGATTTTGGTTATGATATGGTATGACAAGAAAGCTCGAGAGGAACCTTTCACAAGAGCATGCAGTGACAGGACAAGGGGGAATGGCTTCAAACTAAGAGAGTAGGTTTAGATTGAATATTGGGAAGAAATTCTCCCCCCTGAGGGTGGTGGTGAGGCCCTGGCACAGGTTGCCCAGAGAAGCTGTGGCTGCTCCATCCCTGGAAGTGTCCAAGGCCAGGTTGGACAGGGCTTGGAACAACCTGGGCTAGTGAAAGGTGTCCCTGCCATGGCAGGGGGTTGGAACTGGATGATCTTTAAGGTCCCTTCCAACCCAGGCCATTCTATGATTCTGTGATATTTATCTCGCTGTGACCAAATGTCCCAGTTACAGGGGCTGGGACCAGTTTATCACTATGTGAGTATAATCAAAACTGTGTGTTCTACACCCTCTCTGTTATTTCTGATGGACTGATGGATTGTTTGCAGCAGGCAGCAGCTGCCCAGGGCACACTGACACCTCAGGCTACAAGCTGGGTGTTAAAGAACCCTGCCAGGCAGGGGAGTGTTCTTTTGTTTCCTCACAAACGACTCAGCTAACTCCCCTCTGGAAAGGCATTAACACCTTCACACCCAGCCGGAGGGGTCATCTCTGCTAATGGGCCACCTTGGACTGGCATAATGGGCAGCTGCAACCACCTAGACCACCAAAGATTCCAAAAATATCCCATGGCTCACAGAGTTAAATCACCCATCGTGAAGCTCCCCACCCTGGGGGAGGTACTGGGCATTCCCACCTGAACTTGAGCATATATTATCTACGAGTTTTGGGACTTCTGGTGTCACTTCTGGGATCCAGAGGAGGACCAGAACTTTAACAGAACTATGACCATCATCGAGGTTTCCTTTCCTTTTACTTCGCCCCCGGGGGCCCACGTGGTGCTCAGCACAGGGCTGACAAACACTGTTCTGTTCTTGTCCCAGGGTGCTGTGTTATTCATCTGTTTTTGCGGGTTAAAACTGTTTTTCTCTGTATCATTGCATTTATTGTAATCTTTTTTAGTAAATTGTACCTCTGACTTGTGATCTCTCTTGAGCTGGGTTCATTTCTCCCATCAGTTTACTTTTAAACCAGCACACCAAAATTGTTCTCTCTCCATCTGGGTTCACCAGGGTGTCTCTCTCGGACATCTGAGTTCCAGTTGTGTGTTTGCCTTCAGCAACAACCCCCTTGCAGGTGACAGTGGAAGATTTTGAGGTTGTCTGCAGAGGTTTGTACCGTGCCCTGTGCATCCGGGAGAAGAACATGCAGCGCTCTCTGCAGAGGTTCCCCAAGACCCCGGCCCAGTACCTGCGTGCCATCGAGGGCGAGGCCTGGAGGCCCAGTGACACTGGCCCAGGTACACCCAGGATCCTGGAAGGGCTTCCCCTCTGGCCTCAGCGTGGGGCAGGGAAGGATTGTGGAAGTGCTCCACAGGGGAGTCGCTTGCCCAGGTCTCCTCTTGGGTGTCCCAGTGGTGGGGTGTCCCTGCCCACTGCCCAGGCTGGAGGAGCATGGCAGGTTTGGGGGCTGTTGGCTGGCAGCCTGTGCATTGTGGAATTCTCCTTTTGGTGCAGTGTTCAACCCGCCAGTGAAGGATGGACAGGATCCCTTTGAAACTGGGAATCTCCCCGAGGACCTGGGATACCACGTCCAGATGAAGGAAGGGGTAGTTTATGTCTATGCTGACAAGGCAGCAGCTGAGAGGAACGAGCCAAAGGACCTGCCCTACCCCAGCCTCGAGGACTTTGTGGATGACATGAACTTCCTCTTGGTCCTGATTGCAAAGGGGCCTGTGTAAGTGCACAACCCAACAGGTCCTGCCTCAGTGGGCAGAGGGAGGTCAGGGCAGCCCCCTCCCCTTCCTGGGAGGAGGGAGAAACCTGCTGATGACATACCTGGCTGCCCAGCTGTACTTGGCCCCTGTGAGCCCTCTTGATTGGGGTCTTAAGCAAAGTCAGCATTCAGGGACTGGAGACAGGGCTGCAGATACACTCCCACCTGCCCAGCCTTCCTCTGAAGCTCTGTAATAGAGGCAGGAGAAGCACCTGAGGGAAGCAGGGCTGGCCAGCATGAGCTGCTCCACCTCGGGTGAAAGCTGCAGCCCTGTGCTGAGGGGTGAGAAGCCCAGTCACTGTTCTGCCCTTTGCTTTCACTAGTAAGACCTACACTCACCGGCGCCTCAGGTTCCTCTTGTCCAAGTTCCAAGTGCATGAAATGCTCAATGAGATGGAGGAGACGAAGGAGCTGAAGAACAACCCGCACCGGGACTTCTACAACTGCCGGAAGGTAAAGGGCAAGGCTTACAGCTCTGGTGACCCTGAGGAGGAAATGTCTTGGTGCCTTCCCCTCCCTGGGAACTGGATTTTAGAGCCCAGGTCCACTGGCATTGTTCCCACAAGTGAGAATGTGCTGGCTGGGCTGCTCTTGGCCCATCATGTTCACACCACTGAGCCCTGCTCCCCACACAACTTGCTCCCCTGAGGGGTTTGTGGGCCTCCCTGGGATGGTACCTGAGCCTCCCAACTGGAAGCTGGAGGTGGACACACCTTGCTTCCCAGGTGGACACGCACATCCATGCTGCAGCCTGCATGAACCAGAAGCATCTGCTGCGTTTCATCAAGAAATCCTACCACGTGGATGCCGACCGCGTGGTCTACAACGCCAAGGGCAAACAGCTCACCCTGAAACAGCTCTTCGAGCAGCTCAATCTACACCCCTACGACCTGACAGTGGATTCCCTGGATGTCCATGCTGTAAGTGGTTGGACATTTAGTGTAAAATCACTCTTGAGGCACTCTCATCTCCTCCATAGGCACAGTTTTTCCCTTCCCTGCGCACCCACGACATACTGTGTGTGTTAATATTCGTGGCAGGGTGTCACAGCTCCTGGTTTTCCCGTTTTGGCTGGTTTGGATCAGTCCCTGCTTACTGCCACACCTGGCCTGAGTGTGTGAGTGCAGGATTTGACCCTGATCCTGCCTCTTCCAGGGCCGACAGACATTCCAGCGCTTTGACAAGTTCAACGACAAGTACAACCCCGTGGGGGCCAGCGAGCTGAGGGATCTCTACCTGAAGACAGAGAACGCCATCAACGGCGAGTACTTTGCCACCATCATCAAGGTGAGGAGAGAGGGGAGGGGAAGAAGTGAAGCTTTGGTGCTGCTGTGGGTCCCTGTGCCACGGTCTGCTCTGGTTTGCAGGAGGTTGGCTCCGACCTGGAGGATGCCAAGTACCAGCACACGGAGCCTCGGCTCTCGATCTACGGGCGGTCAAAGGAGGAGTGGGCCAAGCTGGCCAGGTGGTTCAACACCCACCGGGTCTATTCCCCCAACATGAAGTGGATGATCCAAGTACCCAGGATTTAGTATGTGCTGTGGGTCTGAGGGGCCACTGTGCCTTACAGATACCTCATACCTGGGGGGGTTGTGGGGACAGTGGGCTGTGTGGTCCCACTGGTAGCAGCTAATCCCTGTCTCTGCCCACAGTGATGTGTTCAGGTCTAAGAATTTCCTGCCCAGCTTTGGGAAAATGCTGGAAAATATCTTTGTTCCTGTGTTTGAGGCAACTGTCAATCCTCAAGCCCACAAAGAGCTGAGTGTCTTTCTACGCCACGTGAGTGTCACCTGATGGTGTTGTCAGGTGTGGTGAGAACTCACAGTCCTGTTTGTGCACAAGAAATGGGGTATTGGCTGATGTGGAAGATATCACCAGTGGGCTTGTGGCCCTTCTGCAACATTCTTGGAAGTGGGTGTGTGGCCAGAAGTGCAGGGAGGGCTCAGACTCCCTGAGCTGGCTGCTGTGGGCCTGTGGGAAATCCTCACCTCCTGGGGAAGGTGTGAGCTTTATTCCTGGTTGCTGACAGAGCTTGGGGGGTTGTGAGGAGGGAGGTCTGCAGCCTTGCTGGACTCTGCTCTTGAGGAGGACAGGGGTGTGGGTTCTGGTGAGCTGCAGGGGGGCAGGGTGAGCCAGCCCAGCTGGGCATGGTGAGGTGGGGAGCCTTGAGATGCACCTTTCTTGTTACCTTGCCGAGCAGATCACTGGCTTCGACAGTGTGGATGATGAGTCCAAGCACAGTGGACACATGTTCAGCACCAAAAGCCCAAAGCCAGAGCAGTGGACTTCTGAGAAGAACCCATCTTACACCTACTACGTCTACTACATGTACAGCAACATCCTGGTGCTGAACAACCTGCGCAGGTGAGGCCCGGGATCTGCCACCATGAGGTGGCACAAGGGGCTGCCTCATGAGTTATTGATGTGGGAGAAATGGGGGCCACCTTGCTCTGCCCCCAGTGTAGTTTGGAGCTTCATATCCCAGAGCAATCCAGAAGCTTCTCAGTAGGAAGCGTGTCGGACTGGGGTGAAAATTAGGGATCGCAGAGATGCATCTATTGCTTATGCAGAGGAGAAAAGAGAGTGAGTGATGTGCTCCTGGGCCAGGCTGGATTCATGGGGAGGGGCAGAGCTGGGCCTGAAGTCAGGTCCAGCCCCCTAACCCTGCTGCCTGCCCTCCTTCCCTGCGCTCAGGCAGCGTGGGATGAACACGTTCCTGTTCCGCCCGCACTGCGGCGAGGCCGGGGCCATCACACACCTGCTCGCAGCCTTCATGACAGCAGATAACATCTCCCATGGCCTCAACCTCAAGAAGGTAAGTGGAGTTAAGTCTGTCACGAGCAGCCCAGGCGTGGCAGGGCAGCAGAACACGTTCACAGCTGCCTCCATGCAGCTGGCAGTTGGTTGTGCCTCTGCTTTATGCTGACATAGCCTGGCTTCAGGCAGATGTCTTTTCTCTGGGGCTCTCCAGGCATGTTTGGGGATCTGGCTGAGAAACCTGTTGGATTTTGAGGGTTCAGCCTCACAGGCCTGTTGTAGGATACATCTGTTATCATTGAGCCAGCTGCATTCTGACAGGTTTGAGCTCCATGTCCTCTCATGCTCCATGTGGACTCTGAAGGATTGATTGCTGGCTTGCCCCTCTCTTTCCTTGCACACGTGAGCTCTCAGCCTTAAGCTCTGCCAGGGGAGGTTTAGGTTGGATATTAGGAAGAAATTTTTTACAGAGAGAGTGATCAGATATTGGAATGGGCTGCCCAGGGAGGTGGTGGATTCACCATCCCTG